AAATTTGCACGTGCTTATTTTATTAAACAATGAATTAATTTAAATTCGTTATTGCATTTAAAAGTTTAAAATAGTTGTGTTCTACAGTTTTCAATTAACTTATCTAATATTGTTAATATTTTTAATATTAAATTAATAACGAATATGATGATATATCGTCATATTCGTTATTAATTTAATATTAAAAATATTAACAATATTAGATAAGTAAATTGAAAACTGTAGAACACAACTATTTTAAACTTTTACATGCAATAACGAATTTAAATTAATTCATTATTTAATAAGCAGTATTTTGTCTCCAAAACATTTTAAATTTATATTTATAACTTTTTTCATGGTTTTTAATTATGTCTAAGCTATCAGTTATTATAAATTGTGTACTAATTGAAACTAAGTTCAATTTATTATATCTAAACGTAAATATATTAATTATAATTTTGCTAAATTCAACCCTATAGAATATAATTTATTTCCTCGTAAAAAAAGTTTGGGTTCGCAGTTTTTATCTATATGTCATCTGATATCTTTCTTTGTTAAACAATGCAAACAAAAAAAAGCTATTTATTTGGATAAGCATAATTTGTTTCTGATCATCCGCATAAAATTTAAGAAGTTTTTTGAATTTTAGTTGAAAAGAAACAAGAAATCGTCTCCAAAAAAGTTGGGCGCTCTTCGCGTTTACAGATTAGGGTTTATATGCTAATTCTAATGTTGTGTGCATACGTCGACTGGTTTATTTACATAGGCGCAGTAAATTTACCTTCATAGGTGTGAAGCGTTATCGACGCCAGAGAGCAAATATATTAAATGAACGCATATTGATCGGATTGTCCTCAGAAATATGGTTTGAAAAAAGTCAAACTATTTTTTCCTTTTTGTGTTTTAGCATCATTTATAACTAAAGTTTTTAAAAACAAATCATTAACTTTTATTGTTACTTTTGTTGCAACATAAATTTGGTATATATTAAAATTATTTTTATCTCAAATTTTATTTAGTTAAAAAAAATTCATCCAAATAATCTTTCGCTGAGCTAGATGCTTAAATTTCTGTTTTTTTTTAAATTAAATGCTGTAGTTTTCTCGCACAAACACAACACTAAGTTAAGATGTTTTCGTAATTCAATGAGAATCCGTCTCTTACAAACTTTAATGAAAATTTATATCAACTTGCAAACCTTAAAAATAACCACTAAAAACCCACTTAAATTACAAACGACATCAAAAAATATTCCAGCATTTTACGAAACATAATCACACTCCTTCTTAACTCTTAAGGGTAAAACAAACAGTAAGGTAAACTGACCAAATTCTGGCCACTTTGCCTTTATTATTATAAAAAAATTTTGCGTAATATAAAAAACAAGTTTAGATTTAAAGAGGTTACTTAACGGTTAATAACGCTTTTAAAATTAAAAAATAAAGTTAGCATGAGTTTAGGCGTCAATTTTTTAGATGCTAGCTAAAAGACCTATTTCTAGCCATTTGAACTTAATTCTGATTGTATAAAGAAATTCATAAATTAAAAGAATTATTGATATCATAGACGAAAGTTGGGTTGGGCCTCGGAGACTAGAGAAAAAAATAGATTGTACACACTAACAGAAAACAAAA